TTTTTATTTCATCTTTCTGTAAAGAATGACATACGTTATCATTCTTTACTTCTAATTTTCTAATTAAATTTTTCTTTTAGTCGAATTTGCATAATCCCTTTCTTTCCTTTCACTCCCTTTTTCTGTATGTTGTATATATTCATTTGCATATTATGATATATTCTATCTTTCAATAAATTTTTATTTTTTAAAACAAAAAAAATTAAGAAAATATATGTGCAATGCAAGAATACTGGCTAATTTTTTTCCGGCCCAGTTATCTTTACAAGCTTCAACTCTTTGAGTCAACTATGAGATTGTTAGATATATATATATATATATATATATATATATATATATATATATATATAAAATAAAAAATCATTAATGTAGTCTCACCCACTAGTTTAAGCTTTTGAATTGAATTAATTCTTTACATGGTATCAGAGCATCGGTGTCCTAGATTCCGTCCTCGTCGCCCCTAATTTTGTGTGTGGAATTTCTTAGCACAGGTAGACTGGGCTTGCATCCACTTTTCAAGCCCAATGAGTTCCCTTCTGAAGGGGCGTATTAGAGTATAAGAAGAAAACATTAATATAATCTCACCTACTAACTTAAGTTTTTTGGTTAAATTGGTTATTTACAGAGATTAATCCCGATTCGGGATTTATTTGTTGTGTATGGCTCATACTTCGCATGCTGATGAAGACTCTTGTTGTCAGGGTCAGCAGGGAAGAGAAAAGCAATTGCCCGCTCTTAGTAGTTTGGTAGGTACTGTTGTGGACCTCTGATTTATTGTATATTTTTCTTTTCTTAGTAGTTTGGGCTTGGACCCATAAATAGCTGTTGTTAGGATTTTTTTCTAATCCTATTTATATTCTCCTTGTAAACTGAGTGACTTGTAACGAGTGGCGGTGAGGTGAATATAGTACAGACAAGCTGGACGTAACTTAAATTGGGTAAATCAGGGTAAATCTGTGTGTCTATTCTCTCTCTTTCTTTTTTCGTTTGCGATTTGTGTGATTGTGAATTTTCAACATTATTCACTATTTTTTTTAACTCGTACCTTAACTGAATCTATGAAGCTATGAATCATAAAAGCTTTTACTATAAGTGAAAAAAGGTGTGATGTACCAAAAAAAAGGTGTAGTACTACTCTATACAATGATCGATGCGTTATTTTTAGTTACCGATCGGTAGTGCAAAAACTTTATATTGAATCTTTATACATAAAGCATCTATATGAAATTTTAAAGATAAGAAGATGAAAGTTTTTTTTAGAAACTTCCCTCTTACTGGTTTTTTCTTTGTTGTTTTTATTCAACGGGTGTACATGTGTGTGTTATATATAACTTGACTAGTTTAATAAATGGATATTAATTATGTCATATTTATTTATTATTATAAAAAAGTATAGAAGGTTAATTGTCGTTGAAAATTAATTTGCCTAAACTTTACGTCTGACATTTGTCTAAATAATGCCACCTATATAGGATGCATCGTAAAGGATAAAGTTAAGAAATATATTTGTTAAAAAAGGAAGGTTATATTTACAATTTTTTTTTTACAAACTCTTATAAACTATATTAAGTATGATCATACTTTAATTAAGAGTATATAACTGGTCATACGTAGTATAATTTGTAAATAAAATTTATAAACAAATCATTTCCCTTGTTAAACTCTACAACTGCCACACGGCAAATTGTACACAAGTCACTAAAAAACTTTTCAACCTTATTATACGTGGATATTTGATCATTTTGTTTGACTTGCTTTAGTTCTTTGACTTAAAATATTTGAATATTCAATTTCATGTCAATCCTAAATTTTTATTTTTATTTTTGAAGGAAAATGATATGATTTTGACTTTAAAATACAGTTCCATGGTTTTACTCGATAGCGTTCACCATGCACCAAAATTTTTAGAATAATGTTTTTAAAGAGTTATGTATAAACTTGGATTCATTTGTGTACGAAAACATACTTTCCTTCATTTTACATCCAGAATTAAAGGGTGTAAAATATCCATCTTTGACGTGGGAAATAAAATCATTTTACATCATTTGTTCACCATTATTATCTTATTTTGTTGTATTTATATCCATCTCAGATATGATAGAAATAAGTTTTGGATATACTAGAATGGAATCATATTCTGTTATCTTTAGTCTTTCAACATCTGACAATTAGCTCACAGCATCAAAGAACAAAAGTGAGACACTTGTCATGAGATATGCAGAACTTCGAGTCTGCATAAGATTTTGGAATTTACGTACAAAAAACTAGTTTAATCAATGGATATTAATAATGGTATATTCATTTATTATTATATATCTAAAGAACCAATAATATGTTAGAGATATATAAAATTATTAATGTAGGTTTACCCAACAACTTAAGATTTTATATTTAATTGATTCTTTACTTGGTATCAAAGTTTCGGTTTTACCGGTTCAATCCTTATCTCACCACTTTTTCTTGTGTGATTTTTTAACATAGTTAGATGAACCGGTACATTATCCACCCTTCATGTCCAATGACTCTCGTGTGAAAGGACTTATTATAGCAGTATATAAATTATTAAAATAATTTCACCCAATAACTAAAATTTTTAGTTAGCTGTTAAACATTAATATACCTAAGCTCTACGTCTACACTTGTCTAAACCATGCTATATATATAGGACGTATTGTAAAAAGGATAATGGTCAAAAATATTTTTATTGAATACCTAAACTCTGCAACTGCCACACGGCAAATTGTACAGATGAATCACTAAAAAACTTTTCAACCTTATTATACGTGGATATTTGATCAATGTGTTTAATTACTTGCTCTAGTCCTTTGACATTCAAATAATTGAATATTCAACTTCATGTCAATCTTGAATAATTTTTTTTTAAAACACAAATGATATGATTTTG